CATTAAGTGTCTACCTGCTGAGCCATCCCACCACCCCTAACTGCACCAGTGTTCTGGGTTGTTGTTTCATGGTTTTGTTAAATACACTCTCCCTGTAGCCCAGGCTGACCTGGACCTTGAACACCTCCTTGTACCCCAGTCCTCCCTGGACCTTGAACACCTCCTCGTACCCCAGTCCTCCCAAGTGCTGGGGCTACGGGCTTGAGTCACTCACTGTACCTGGCTCTGCTTGTGGTTTTGAGCCTGCTCACTCCTCCTTCCTTTAGATTTAGTAAGTTTCCTCGGCCTGCCAGCCACAGCTTGAGAGGCCAGGGCTAGAGCAGAATCTGAAGCAAAGGTCCCTTCCCTCCCTTGTGGGTTGGGTTGCTATTTTGGGGGAGGAAACAGACAAGACCTAAAACAGCAATGAATCAACAATGTTAACTGGTGAAAAGTATGGAAAAAGGTTCAGGAGGCAGTCTTTGTCTCGACAGAATAGAACCTAGGCACCTGGGGTTGGGCAAGCATTCTTTCAGTAGGCCAAGCCCCCAGACCCTCACTGGTGGATTCTGGTTAAGCATTTTACCACTGAGCCATGCTATGAAACCCTCACAGCTGGATTCTAGGCATGTGGTCCGACACTGAGGTATACCCCAATTCCTCTCTGGTGAACTCCTCCACCTTTCTAACCCAGAATGTAATTTTATAAAAAAGTGATCAGGGACCCACTCCTGAAGCAGCAGAGATCCGCAGGAGAAGAGGCTGAGTCACGGAGATGAGGAGTGTAGGGACAGTACAGAAGACAGACGACACACTGCAAAGGCCTGGGAGGCTTAGGATCATATGGACTGGAGGCAGGAACAGCAGGGAGGCCAGCAAGCTAGGGAGAGAGCAGCAAGTAAGCTGAAAGGAAAACGGGGACCCAGATGTGGAAGACTTTCTGGGTCTGACTGAAAGCCCAGGACTTTCATTGTTTTATTAAATATATTCTCCTACTATTTTAAACTCGATGCTGGCATAAAGAATAAAATTTCCACTTGAAAGAAAATATGTGGGCCGGGCGGTGGTGGTGCACACCTTTAATCCCAGCACTTGGGAGGCAGAGGCAGGTGGATTTCTGAGTTCGAGGCCAGTCTGGTCTACAGAGTGAGTTCCAGGACAGCCAGGGCTACACAGGTACATGCCTTTAATCCCAGCACTTGGGAGGCAGAGGCAGGCGGATCTCTGAATCCAAGGCCAGCCTGATCTACAGAATGAGTTTCAGGACTGCCAGGGCTATACAGAGAAAACCTGTCTCGACAAACCACACACACACACACAGACACACATACAGACACAGACACAGACACACACACACACACACACACACACACACACACACACACGAAAGAAGGAAAGAAAGAAAGAAAGAAAGAAAGAAAGAAAGAAAGAAAGAAAGAAAGAAAGAAAGGGAGAGTGAGAGGAAGGAAGAGGAAGGGAAGAGGGAGGGATGGAGGGAGAGAGGGAAGGGAGGGAGGGAAGGAGGGAAGAGAGGGAGGGAGGAAAGGAAGGGAGGGAGGGAGGGAG